AAAAATTATTAAATTGTAAATACTAAATTTTATGATTATTAATAGATATTTATGTAGGATAACTTTTTTCTGAAAAAAACTTTTGTATTTAAAATGTAATAATTAATTGATTGACCTCTCTTTGACATTATCATTTCCATTAAAGTTGATATTTAAAAAATACAATTACTTATTACAATTTAATCATGCTTTAATATTACCAATTTAATGTTTTTTAGTATAATTATAGGGTTTATATTACCCTAAAGAATTAATTCGCTTTATCTTATAGAAAATATATTTTCCTAAAGATATTTTTAAATTATTAATTCTTTATATGAAAATTTACAATCTAATATAAATTTTATTGTGATTGCGAAATATTTGAGTCCAATTTCATTTAAATATTTATAATTATATTTAGCATTATTTATAATTTCTATATCATTTTAAGTTAGTGAATGCAATATTATATATATAATTTCTAATTTATAGCTACAATTATCTTAAAACAATATTAAGCAATTTCTATGGTTGGATCAATATGAATTTTGCTGCCAAATGGAACTTTTTAGATGCACCTAAAAGTATAAATTGAGTTTTCTGTATGATTTATTTGCTATTATAATTATTTCTAATACATTAATCTCATCAGTAGATTTATTCTAGCAAACTTAACACAATGAAGGGCATTCTATGCATTTTCTATCAACTAATACGCTAATTAGTTCTTTATAATAATTTCTCTTGCATTTAGAACAATAAAATGTGGAAGATGGTAACAATTTTCTGTTTCGCACACTGAACAAGATTCATCACAATATTGTGAGCAATAGTTGTCTAAAACTCGATATCCTTGATGACAATCAATTACTATTGCATTTAGCCTAAATAATGATAAAGATAAATAAACGTGTTTTTATTGTTTACAAAATTGATTTTTAAAATAATCTTTGAAAAGATAATTAAATAGTTAAATACTACTTTAAAATAATCATTTACAATTATTTTCTAAAGTTAAACAATCCTAAAATAAATTTTTATTAAATAAAACTAAATAAAATTAATTAAATCAATTTTCAATTTGAAACAATATATCATAATTTATTCTAGTTTTAGGGGGCAAGAATTAAATTATAAAATCTTGAAATTACCATTTCCCTATTTCCCTGGTTCTTATAAATTATCTTATTAGCATTATTTTTAATTTAAAATAGGACAAATGCTACAAACTCCTGTAATAGAAGAGACTATATAACCATCCTCACAAATTAAACATTTTATTGTTATTTATATAGTATTGATACATTATTAACAATGTAGAATAAGGTCTTGGCAATTTATTTTTCCTAAAGAGATAGTGAATCATTTGATGGTGTGCAAATTTCTCGATCATCAAAACTAATACAAGATCTAAGGCAATTTTATTAAGTTGGTTTTTAGTTGATACAAGTTGATCTTTTAAATTCAAACACAAATCCTTCTACACACTAAGCATTTCAACATATATTCATACACAAATAACAATTTTTATTTATTGATTGACTTGCAGAGCAGAAATTTTTGAATATTAATTATGCTTCAATTAAATCATATGGTGCTTTCAAATTACAATTAAGACAGTATCTTAATTCATCTCCTGCAAATACGTATTATAAATTTTCTTCATTAAAATATTTAGTAACACTTCCATCCTGATGAACAAGGAAAGATGTTTAACAAAGAAGAGTATGAATCCATAAATTTGGATTTAAAATACATTCTAAACATGTTATTAAAGGATTTGTAATTATTGATGGACTAAATATAAAAAATAAATTACACCATTTATAATAATCATCATTAATTTCAAAAAACCATATTGAAATTATTTTTCAATTTATTAGACATCAATTTTATTTAATTATAATGTTTAATAATTAATACATTCATTATTCTAATCAATAGTTCAATATTCACAAATAAAACTTAATATTCTGATATATATCTTCTATTTGAGTATTCATAACATGATAAACAATCATCTTTTTTTGGACCGTAACATTCTTTGCATGTTTGATGACAATTTATCTAAAGATTATTAAAATCAAGACAATTAAAAAATTAAAAACCTGTAAGTTGAAGAGTTAAATAGTTAGATTTTGATTAAAAAATATTTCCATATAGTAATTTAAATTATACCATTTAGAATTAAACTACTTCTAAGCTAAATTTTTCTTAATTATATCCCTAATAAAATGTAATAGTAATTGAAATAAATTAATCTGATTTTTCAACAAGAAGGTAATGCCACAATTAAATATCATTGGTCACTTCAAATTCTACTTTCTTTAAATAAGGATTGGTTGAAAAATCAATATTTACAACAAGCAAGGTATAGCTTTAAGTAGTTAAAATTATTTAATTTATTTATGTTGATAATTGTATAATAATAAAAATTGCACATAAATTTTCTTAAGTTAATTAAGGATATTAAAAACTACCCATTAATTTAAATAACAAAAACTAAATTTCATAAGAATTGTTATTAATTTCCAAAATTTTTATCCATCCTGCTAATAGACATTATTAACAATTAGTATTTTATGATAAAAATTCATAGATATCTTAATATTAAATTTTAACATCTGGTAAATCAGTTATTTAATCATTTTAGAAATTACATGGCTTTTATTCCCTTGATTAGATTAATTCAAAAAATTAATCAGGTCTATCATAACAACTTTAAGGATATTATATTTATCCTGGGATATATGATAGTATCTTATTTTCAAATATATAAAATTTTGATGTCTGTTTATTTAATTTATACTTTAAAATCTCCTCCAATAATTTAAATAAAAATATATTCTTTAAATGGAAACCTTATTGATATATCTTTAGAAAATATTTAATTCATTTATTATTCCTTAATATATATAGTTACTCTTTTTCTAAAGGACTTGCGAAGAATCCATTGAAAAACCAAGCACCTTCATATGAACTTAAATCGAATGAAATTTAATCAGTTGTAACACTATTATCACTATCTAAAAATTAAAAGTATTTCTTAACAATTTTTTCCTCAAAATTTATACATTCAAAATATAAAAAATAAAAATTTTTTTCTACTTTTTCTTAAATTCTAAATTAATGAAAGCAGCTACAATATTACTCAAAGGAACATATTTAATCCAAACTCTAAAAAATGCCCTTTCTCCATCAACAATGTTTGAATTTCAAAACATATTACTATAAAAATAGAAAAAGAAATATTCTATAAATTAAAATTATTTTGATTATTTGTGATTAATTATTGATTAAAAACTTAATTTTTGCTATCTATTAATTTGTAGCACTAAATAAATAAACCCTTATTTAATTATGGCAGCATCCAGAATTAGCAATATTGACATGAGATAAATTTCTTAAAACAAAATAATAAAAGTATTCATCTTCTAGCATAAATACAAAAATTCCAATAAATATTAATTTTTAGAATATTTAATCAATAATTTATAGAGAATGGCAGAATAATAATTCTGTAATCAAATTAAAGTATATAAATATCCATTAATTCTGAGTGTTATTAAAGAAAAGGTAATATAAATTAATTGATGATAATTTTGAATTTACACTAACACTGACTTAAATTATATATAATTTTGAATTAAACTATTAATTTTTTTTGATTAATTATTTAATTTTACTCAAATATATATTTTTGTAATTAGAACAATTTTTCTATAAATGGGTGAGTTTTATGAAGTAGATATATATTAAATTTGAAATTTATTTAATAGATACATTATTCTTATAATCAAAAATATTATCAACTAATTTTATGTTAAAAAATTGAAACATAAAATAATTCGAAAATACCTTATTGAAATGTCTCTTTTTCAGATTTCAATTATAATCATTTGACCACATTTGTATTTTAATATTTTTATTCAATAAATAATAAACTTTACATTTGATATCAGCATATATGTTCTATTGGGATTTAATTTAAAAATTACCTTTTTAAGCATTGATACAATTTAGTAGATATAAGACGGAGCAAATTAAGTTATTATATGAAAATCTCAATATTTTAATCATGATTTAAACTTTATTTTCTTAAGTTCGATTCTTGAAATATGAATAAAATTAATGTATATATCGTAGACCTGATACGTAAACTCAATAAACCATTGTGTTAAAGCTAATAACAAATTCATATCTATTGTTGCTATGAAGTTTTACTTGCCATATATATTAAATTTTGGAACAAATTATCCTATTTTTATCCATAAAAGGAACTATATTTATTTAATTTTAATATAATTTTTGGATGTTAATTTAAACCAGAATTTTATGGAGCTTTATAATAAATTAATTTTTTAATCATTTTATTATAAATAAGTTTATATAAATTTATATTTTAAATTAATACTTAATACAATTGGTATTTGAATTCTTTGTTAAAGTGATAAACTAAAATTAATATTAATAATATTTATTTAGGCAATCTTAAAATAAAATATTTATAATAAGTATTCTAAGTTACAACAGTTTTAATTCGCTGATGAGATTGTCATATTTATATATCATAAGGATGCTCATTTTCTAAGAGATTTAAAAATATAATCTATTTATAGCAAACTTAATAATATGAAAATGTGAAATATTTTTATTTCACAATCATAAAAAGCTTAGTCACATCATGAATTAACTTGCAATCTAAGAATAAAAATAATTAGGTTTTATTGATCAGAAATAATATATAAAAATAGATGTTCAGAAGCTAAAAATTATTATGAAGAAAATGATCTTGAAGCTTAAATAGATATATCAAAAATATCTTAGGAATTAATAATATATGTTAATTAAGATTAATACAAGGATTTGATTAGAGAAAATTTGATCGTCTTAGTAATATATATTAGAAGATTATTTAAATTATATTCCTAAATTTGTAAATTGCATAACTGTAATTTATTCTCTTATCATATTAGGGATTACCATTCAAAATTATTCAAACCAGAATTTATAATTTAATTAAGTATAATATAATTAAAAATAAATAATTTATTACAAATTTGAAAATTTAGATTGCAGAATTTCTGTAGATTAGAATTACTAAATTCTACAAGATTTGAGTATCATCTTAGAAAAAAGACTAATTTCTATTTATTAATTAAATTGGTTTCTTATTAATGTCATAAAGTAATTTTTAAATGATGTCCTATAACTTCTAAAATTCAAATCCATAACTTAAAGATTTTTTAGTTCAATTTTGTAAAAACTTTTTCACATGTAATTAATAACTTTTCTTTCAGTATAATAATTAAATCAATATTAACACTGAAAATTTTAACAGTGGTAAAATAGCATAAAATTTTAGATGATAAAAAATAATTCATTCAAAATTCTCTCTCAATTTGATATTTTGGTTGAATTTTGCCCTTATCAAGAAATAATTAATTGACTCGTTTTAAATAGAGAAAAGCTTTAGCTTTACCCAATCAAAGAGGAATCTTCCAAACCAAAAAAGATCATTTACAATCTGTGTGTTTAAAAAGAAAAAATTTCAAAAGGCCCTTATAAGTAATAAATACAGCTATTATTATTGATTTCACTTAAAAGAATCTGCAATTCAAACTTGTCTAATACTATTTCAAAAGAATTACATTTTTAAAAAAGAAATAACCCAGCAAGATTGAATTCTATAATCAATCTCTAAGATTTGGAATCCATGACATTAAATTCAATAGAACCTAATGCATTCTCAATGTTGAAAGATTAATTGAATTCAATATTCTTCAAGAAGAACATAGCAGTGAGAATTTATTTTATATTCTTGATAAACTTTAAAAGATTTTGACTGAATATTCAATTGGCTATTTAGGGAAAAAAAATTGAAAACTATAGATATATATTTTAATAATTTATGAGATCCTTTATTGAAGAAGATATCAATTTGGACCTAGTACTAGAATAATTGTAATTTATTTTGAAATGACATATCTCCAAATAAAGAGAATTACTATTGTAATTGCCAGGAATAGGGGGAGCTGATCAATTAGTGGATAAATTGATTAATAACTTCTAGACAAATTCTTAAACTTTAGAGATAGATTAATTGATTAGATAATTAGAAACAGCAGCTTACCTTAGAAAATTCAATATTTGAAAATTTAATATGTCTGAAGAATTGTCTTAATACTTATTTGATAGATTTGTAATGCTAAAATTAATCAAATTGATGGTTAAAGACTTTAAGATCCAGATTGGTAGTTCTATAAACCTAATAATTTATTAATGTAAACTCAGAAGAAATACTTATCCATTTTTATAAATTATTAAGTGAGAATAATATACAATTATGATATCAAAGTTGATCACAAACTTTTAAGCATGCTTATAAATCAAACTCTGGATAATCAAATTATTTTATGCAAACTAAGGTCAAAAATTTTGTATAAAGAAAATAAATTTTGAAAATTAACTAATATTAATATATTTTCTTCCTCATGACCTTATACTTATTTTTCTCTTGAACTTGGTTCTTATACTCCAGGCTGATAATCATAATTTTAATCTTCTTCATTTTAATCTTAAGGTTTTTAGAAAATTTCAATGTTTTTATTTTTAGAGGAAACTTCTAAATAAAGGGTTTAATTTGAATTGATTTTATTATGATATCAATTTAGCTCCTTAACACCACAGCTATGGTTATTGGACTGATTGAGATTAATTGATGAAGTGGTTCATGATATTATTGGGTGTAAAATTAGTACGATTGATCTGGAGTAAATATAAAAAGGAGGGAGAATTTTACAATTTTAATATGTTCAATAAAATGATCTAAATTAATTAATTTATTTATTCTCAAATTCTATCATGAGATTAGAATTCTTTTTGATCAAGGAACATGATAATGTGCAATCTGTAAAATTAGACTCAATATAAAAAGTGATGTCAATATTAAGTTTGATAGACCCAATCCTTACCAAATTCTTTTAGTATCATTTCCAAATCCCCAATCATACTCGTGAAAAGAAGTCAATAGGAACACAACAAACTATATATGCAAATATATTTTAATACTAAAATATTTATAATCTCATACCTAAACTAAATCTACTTTATCATTCCAGTTAATGCTCCACTTACAGTTCCTTATAATCCATCTACAAGTAAAATACCAGCAATCATTCAAGGCATGGTTCTCTCAATACATCTTTTGTTTCATCTGTTTATTAATCCTTTCCTCTTTCTGCTGTAAATAATTAATAAATCCATCTTAAAATACCTATATAAAGCACATATTAATACTAAAATCAAGATTCCAACAGCAACAGATTATTTGGCTCTTTTAATATCTCCAAATCCCATTTAAACCTCCACATAAGACATGATTTAAATTGAAAAACTTACTGGCAATCTTTAAAGAATATTACTAAACAATGTACCGCAGACTGGTTAAAGTGCTGAATGAGAATTTACTGTTCAAATTTAAGGCTACAAATTACCATTACACTAATATTAAATTTGCACAATGTACTAATATTGGCATCGAAGTCTTGCAATATTGTAAACCTAATTTCTTGATTTTGTGAAATCAGGGTAATATTTTGATTCCTTAAAAATATAGTACCTTTATATTCTGTCAACTAAATTAATGCTAAAAATAGATGCTATATTTTTAGACATGTTGAATATTCGAGTTAATATGATGTCAAATCCTACTCCTGGTATTCCTCATTCAAATTTTTAATAATAGCCAACTAAATATCCAATATTGAAGTAAAATTATAATGTGAATTATAGCAAATGGGGGTGTATTTTTGTAGGAAGCCATGAAAATTTTAATATTTCAAACATTAGAGCTATAATTATGGTTGGAATCAGAGACCATAAATATTATTAAGCACAATCTCTAATAAAAAGGAGCACCTTTTATAACAATATTATACTGAATATATATAATTACTCTCTGCATTGGCTGCAATCAAAAGCATGCCATTTTCTCTTAATTACTTTCTCTTCAATTTCTCAGAGAAAAATATTTTGAAAAATATCTTGAGGCCTACTAGAAGTGTGTTGCACTTTTAAGGAGTAATCGATCGTGTCACATTTTAAAAATTAATTATAATTTGTTCTATTATCAACTTCCAAAATAAATTATCATTATTATTCTAAAATAAATTAGTATTATATATCATCATAATATAAAACTTAATTTTCTTTTGTTAATAGATTCTCCAAATTAAGGAATTCGATAAATTTGTTTAAAGGATCAAAAATTACTTTTCATTCCAATCGATTTTGTATATTATAATGATAGATATAATTGATTGAAGTTATTCTTATGTAATACAATTTTAACCAATGATAATTGTGATTTGAATTTATAAAATTTTTATTATCGTTAAAATTAGATTTTATAAAATCTATTATAAAAATGTCAAAAAGAAATCAATTTTATTTTTATCCTTCTTATTCATTCATTATCTATTTTAATTATATTAATTTTATAATTTATAAATTAAATATATTAATCATTTTTTAATCTATTATGATAAAACATTTTTTAATTATGATAAGTTAGAAAGGTATGAGTTTTGATATTCCTCTCATAATTTAGTTAATAATTATTCATTTAAGAACTCAAATAAATAGAAGTCCTCTAAGTTTTGATTCAAATGTCTAAAGATTATATAAATTTCCGTATTACAAAAGTAATTTCTATTTTCACTATTTTATTAAATATTCCAATATTTAAACAAAACGATTATTTAGTTCTATTTTTCTTAAGGTTATTTTGAATGGCTATCACTCTCATATTTCAATTAATAAATAAGGAAGAAGTTTGGTGATAAAATGAAATATAAGTAATATTAATTTTATCAATTATTGCAGTTTTAGTACAAACCTCTTTATATTTGAAGTTGAAGTTTAATAATTTAAATAAATGAAACATTAAATAAATTGAATATGTATTCGAATCAAATAGATCTACCTGAATAATAATATAATATAAAAATTAAAGCATTGTTATTCTCAAGAGAAGAAATTTAATTTGAATATTCATATTTTGAGTTGATATTTATTCGAATATATTTATGAATAAATTAATATTAATTGTTTTCTTGTTGCTAGTATTAGTATCAAGTCAACGATACAGTATAAGAAAATGCAATTGTAATTTTGATAACTGATGATGAATTGGTACATGTACAATTAAACTAAATGGTTGATGTGTAACAAGAACTACACGTGCAGCTGCAAAAATTGAAGAATCTTGCGTTTAGAATATATCAGGAAAGAATTGCTATTAGAATGGTTTAAATTGAATTGATAAAATCTGCGCAAATGCTCCAATTGCGTTAACTATTAATTCAAATAGTGTAGGATTCTTAACAGAATGCATTACTAAATCAGGTGGAAGTTTTGTTGAGGATGAGTCATGTTCAGTAGCAAATATACAAACAACTTGCGTATAGAATGCATTAGGTATTACTTGTATTTGAGATGCAACTTTCAAAGAGAAGACATATTTTAATGCACCATTATCATTAATACTCATGAGCTAAGTACATCTTATCTAAACAATTACTGTTAAATCAGGTAGTAGTTGTTAAAATAGATGCTCCCATTAATATAACAACAAATGGAGAATGTGAAGCATATCTACCAGGATAGAAAATGTATTGCAAAAACTGATGGTGGATTCAATAAAAATGCTACTTGTTCAGCAATTATTTAGAGGCTGCTTGTATTAAGACTTCCTTAGATTTTGTTTGTTTTTTGGATTCAACAAGTATAATTTGCAAAGATAAGACATGCTTGACTGTACCATAATAAATAATTAATAATATTATTATTAATATAAAGGAATTGATTAAGCATAATAACACACATTAACTTTTTTAATCTTTTTTGAATAAATGTACTGTCAATTCTACAAATACAGGATAGGTTGACAGAACATGTAAAAATTCATTAAGGTCAATATTAAAAGAAATTTTTTGTCTTCGCTACATCACCCATAATTACTCCCACTGATTTTTCCTGATAATCTTGTAATAGTAAATGGTTCCTCTGCTATTAAGGATTTTAAGATTTGCCTGCTTTATGTTCAGCCAAAAGAGCATCTGAAAGCGGTTTCAGTTTGAACTGCCTAAACTTATGATACAGTTTATTTGGGTATTTGAAATTAGAATTAAGCTAATTTTAATGCTTCAAATCAAAATTTACTGATATTGGTAGCCAATGTGTAATTAGAGTTTGCTCTATTGCTTCAGGGTTTACATTTGCTCATTTAAATTACTATAATTAGCTAAATACATGTTCTTTTAACAGTGGAAATAACGCATGTATATCGATGGAGTAAAAATGCACAGTTTAGAATCAGAATTCATATCTAAGATCTAAATAAGGTGAATTTGTTGTATTTAATTCCTTATGTCTCAGGAAGATATGTGATATTGCTACAACAAAAGAAATTATAATACTGATGCAGAATGTTCAAAATATTAGTAATAATGTGCTGTTGTCAAGATAGGAGAATGCCGATCCAGAACTATGTGCTCAGGCTACTTTTCTGAACTGGATGTGCATTCAATAGAAATTGTGGATAATTCTTCTGGAATCCAACTCTTAAGAATTATGTTGATTTGAATTTTGGACTATCTCCTTCATTTGGTTCTCATTCAAAATGTATTGCATTTGATGCTAGAATTGATCATAAATTAATATAGTAATATGATTTATTGACTGAAAATGATTATATAAAGTAAGAGCAGCTGAAGGGATTCCTAAACCAGGACTAATGTCACTTTAATCATCTGAGAAATGAATCTGTTTGGAATACAAGCCCAGACAAGGCAATCTGTTAGGATAACTCTTGTTATAATGTTTCACTATCAACAATCATACAAAATGATTGTTATTCATATTGCAATACTTCTATTATTAATTTCACTGTTTGAATTTATGATGGGCTAATAGGAGGATGTTAATTAACAATTGATGTTCCTTTTATGCAAAGACGGCACAATTACAGATTAATTACAAAGGGGAACTAAGTGCATGGAATGAAACGTCCTCTTAATGGGCAGATAAATCTTGTCAAACTGCTCCTGCTACCTCGGATTATTATCATGACTCTAATTGTAGATCTTACTTTATTAACAAATGTACAGTTTCTTAATATGGATAAGGTTGTGTAATTGTTCCTGCATCATGTACAACAATGACAGAGAATTAATATTATTTCAATAAGAATGAAGATCCTAGTTGTTGGACATGGAAAAATTTGTGCAACTAGATCATGCGATAATGTTCCTGATTCTGCTAGTTCTTCAGACTTAAGCAAAGCTTATTTAGCTGGATATGCATTCTATACTATTATAAATGCAAAGTTAATAAAGATTACTACTTTTTTATAGTGTCAAAAAGTATTATCTACATGTAGCTCAAATGGAAAATATTTTTTTACTAGAGGGTCTTGCTTTTAAGCTAAAAGTTTGGCTGTTTATGTTATTTCATCTACTGGATAACTTTGTGAATGGATTGCTGCTCAAGGGTATTGTAAAATAAAAAGTTGCCTTACTGCTCCCTTAACTACTGAAAAAATGTGCCAACTATTTTACTAAATTTTCAACTAAAATAGATGGTGGATTTATAAGTAAATCAACTTGTGCTGGTGCTTTGATTGAAGCTGGACGTAAAATTGCTTTGAATGGCACTGTCTGTTTTTGGGATGAATAACTAAAAAATATAGATATTCTTAGGATTTCAATCGAAACATCATGCAAGAGTTTAATTTGGGATATTGATTAGAAATGCAGATTGTTAATATACAACTAACGGATCTCATTTTTTTGGTATCTCATTGTGTTCAGAAACTTATAAAAATGGAGGATGAGGACAGGATATGATGATGCTTTTATTCAATCCTTGAATTCATTAGATCCCCATAGTTTGCTTTCCTAATAATTCATCTATATTTTTTACATAAGCTAATATTTTTGAGAGATCATCTTTGCTTTCATACAACTTATCCTATTGTTCTTTTTATTACATTAACTTATAAAGATTATTAATTAAGATATTTGCCGAATATATTTTAGATCATCAGAATTTATATTTAAATTGATCTCTACAATAATTTCAGAAGGCTTTGGTATTACAAAATTGGAACTTAGCTCTTTTATGTGTTTTGGCTTTTAACACAGGTTAATTTCAATCAAATCAAAAAAGTTATTGATTCTATCATAGGATTACTAATTTAAAAGGGGTATATTTCACTTCAATAAATTGATCCATACTCTGGATACACTATTGAGTTCTTACTTCTAATTATTCTTAATATCTTTGCACAGATTCCATTTGAAAATATTTAAAATAATAATATATAAAAATGTATTTCTATTAAATTTAATAAATATAATTAATTAATTATATATATATCTTTAAATTAGATTGTTGGACTATGAATATTTTAGAAAATAAATTAAAAGGAATATATGCTACATATTTTGATGTTAAATTTTCAAGCAAATTTAATAACTTTGATCCTTGAGATGAAAAAAATATAATATTTAATTTCAAATAAAATGCTAGAGGTTCTAATTAAAAAATGTTAAATAGGTTAGTTGCTACTTTCAGTGATAAAAAGGAAAAGTGAGAAAAAAAAAGCAAAATAAATAAGATGATACTCTATTGCAAGTTTTAAGAGATCTGAATATTGAACTTGTTCTAATTTTTCGAACTCCTATTTCCCTTCAGAGTAGTTAAGTGGTTCCTAATGTTGAATAATCAGTTTGTAAATATATAAATTGAACAAGACTTTTAGAATTAAAGATTATGTTAAAGATTGGAGTTAGAAGGGCATATATTACATTATATAATTTCAAATGATATTTATATTTTTTTAGTATTGACCAAATATTTCCTGCTTGAAAATTACCTTAAAAGACTCTAAAATAGCAAATATATTTTAAGATTTTCGCCAATTTTATAACAGTAAATAATGAATGAATTAAATAAATTTATTCAAATTAATTTCAGCCTTTTGATGATTTAGATTTACGAAATAATAGTAATAAAGGGAATTGATAAATGTCAATTAAGAGATATCGAGTAGAATACTTAATAATTTTTTTAAAGAAACACTACTTCTATCAAGTCTATAAGAATAAATGTAATATTTGGAATTATATAAATGAGATAAATTTATAGCTAAAGGGTTTATTTTATTATGCCTAAGATGAATAAAGTTTAAGAAAAAAATATACAGAAAATTTTTGACAATAAGATACATTGTTAATTGTATTGATAATAATTATTGCAGTTTATAAGTATTGGTATTAAATTTTTCTTCAATCAAAAATTAAGATTACACTGGTGAAAGTGAACAGCAATTAATATTAACATCTTTTCAGGTATTTCTTAAAATACATTGATATCCATCAATAACTCATCTAGCTTAAATCCTACTTCAAAAATAGAATCATAATCAGAGTCAATAGTATAATTATAATAAAAAAAATTTTTGATACATAACCTCCTTTTAACAAATATAAAGGAATAATATAAACTCCTAACCAGATTAGGCATGAGCGGATCAATTTGCAAATTATCTAAGCAAGAACTTTTTCCTAATTCTAAATTTACGGAAGTTCTTTTAACCATCGTCTTACTATAATAATTATATATATTTAATGAATAAAAATTAAACTATTTTGGTTTAATCTAAATTTTGTGTTTAAAGTATATGAATCACTCAAATATTATTGAGAAATACGCGCTTTGTATAAAATTGATCATAAGGCTTAATTTATCTTGATTGTATTGTGAATTATGAATAATTATTAACACAATTATGTTATTTAGTAATCCTTTTTCTTTCCATATTATTTTTATTAATCATACATTTCTGTTAGAATAGTATCTGCAATCATCATATTATTGGAATATTTAGATGTAAGTTTACTATAAAACTTTAATCTTTAATGATTTTATATATATGTATGATAAGTTCAACAAGATTTTAATTAGTTAAATTAGTGCATTGATGTAGTAACATTCACTTCTAATTTATCTTTATGATATATGGAACATTTATTTAAATTTCACTTAAGTGTAAACTTCAATGAAGAATTTTTACTATTTGGTTAGTTAATTATTGCTATTTGTTAATAAGAATGATGTAAGTTTATTCGAACATATATATTCTAAGCATTATGTATTAATGATTGATTAATATATATAATATTATACCTTTTATTTTAGTAATATAATCCCAAAAGCAAGGAAATCCTTAAGAATTATTTTGATAATTTAAATAATTCATATTAAGCATTTTTAAGCACTTTATTTATTAAAGATAAACAATTTAGCAGTAGGATCAATTGGTGTCACAAAATTTGAAAGGCAAAAACATATAAAAAATTATAATTTGTAATAAATAAATTATGAAGCTTCACAGATATTTCTAAATATATTTGAGTTATCAATTTTGCTTGAACAAGCATTATCATATTGTATTCTAAAAATAATTAATTTTTTATCTCTGCATTTTTAGTAAATTAAATTAAATTTTTTACAGTAATGAAATACCATTAACATGTTAAAATTGTACAAGCCCATGTGCAACTTGTAAATTATCTGCAACTAATTGTGGTTCATGTATACTTGGATTAAATCGAAATCTATAAACTAACTAATGTGTTTGCGATGATGGATATTATGAAAATACTACTTGTTAACCATGTTAATTACCATGCATTAACTGTACCTCATTATCAGTATGTACATCATGTAATGATCCAACTAATTAATCAGGATTGTCATGTGTTTGTTAACCAAATTATTTTATGAACACCTCTTTTATGTGTTAAAGTTGCGTTGCTCCTTGCTAAAATTGTACTTCAGAAACTCTATGCACATCATGTATATAAAATTACTACATTTCTGGAAATTCTTGTTTATAATGTTCTTCTCCATGTTACAATTGTGTGGATCTTCCCACAAAATGTACATTATGTGTTGATTCAAATTTAACACCAATCAATAATGAATGCACTAGTGGTGGATGTTCTGATGGATACTTTATGGATGCATCAATAAATTGTCAACCTTGTATTCATCCTTGTCTTAAATGTTAAACAAATGGTAACCATTGTTTAGAGTGTGCAACTACATTTGAAATGAGTACCACTACTCCAAATACATGTGTTTGTCCTACTCAAAATATATAGTAGTAACTGATAATCCTACTGATTGTCAATCTTGTACATAGCCATGCGATACGTGTTCAGGAACAGGAAATCATTGTTTAACATGTATTGATATTAATTAAAGCGTTGACACATCATACTAATGTTAATGTAATTCTGGCTATACAATGATTGCAGTAAATTGTATAGTATGTCTTAGTCCTTGTTTATAATGTTTAGGGAATTCAAGTCATTGTACTTAATGTAAAGATCCATTACATTAAATATCTAATGGAGAATGTATATGCCTTTCTGAATATTTGAATGATAATGATTATAATTGTATACCTTGTTAACCTCCTTGTTCAAATTGTTCAGTAAATGATACTCATTGTGATAGTTGCATAGATTCTAATCATGAAATTAATGATACCTTTTAATGTATTTGTAAGGACACTTTCTATTCTGATACTCTTAATACTTGTTAACAATGTACATAGCCTTGTTTTTTATGTGATCTTAATGGATGTTTAAGCTGTATAGATTCTAATTAAGTAATTGATTCATCTTAAAGATGTGTTTGTAAATCAGGATATTATGAAGTTGGAGTTAATTGTTCTTAATGTGTTGTTCCATGTTAAACATGTGAAATTAATTAAGATCGTTGTTTAACATGTGTGGATTTAAATTACAACTTAATCAATAATAATTGTATATGTAATGATGGATTTTGAAATTAATAATTTATGTTAGCAATGTTAATATCCTTGTACAAAATGTGAATTTACAAATGATCATTGCCTTGAATGTTTAGATATAAATCATGATTTAATTAATAATAAATGTATATGTAAATTTGGATTTGGATCATCAGGAATTGATCTTTTATCTTGTTAACCTTGTGAGTATCCTTGTCTTGATTGTTCAACAAGTATAAGTACTTGTATATCTTGTATTGATAACAGTATATACTATCTTGAAGATAATAAATGTTATGCAAATAAGGTTATTTCTTAGTAGATACTGATTGTAGACCATGTTTATCATAATGTCTTACATTACATGTTTTGAATAATCTGATAAATTTTTATCATGTTCTAATTCTAATCATATTTTATTCTAGAATGATTGTTAATGTAAACCAGGTTATTATACAGATAAATACAAGAATTGTTTATAATGTTAAATACCTTGTTAAACTTGTATATTTAATTAAGATTTTTGTACATCTTGTTAAGATAATTTTTAACTTATTGAAGGATAATGTATATAAATAGAGGAATATAATAATATTGATTTAAATTGCAAATCCAGTAATTAAAACTGTTATAAATGTAATTCCTATTATGAATGTACTGAATGTATAGATCAATATTATTTATATAATACTTAATGTTTTAAATGTTAAATTCCATGTTTATAATGTTCGGATATTCATACTTGTATATCATGTGTTGATAATTATACAATAGATAATTAAGGAAAATGTATTGAATGTATATAGAATTGTCAATATTGTATTGATTCTATTAATTGTATTAAGTGTTTTGATGAATTCTATTATGTTAATTAATTATGTATCCCATGTTCTAATTTATGTTTAACATGTGAAAATAATAGTAAATTTTGTACATCCTGTAAAGATTCTAATTATGTATTAAATAAATAAACACGTACTTGTTATTATATTAACAATTTTGGAGATTAATATAATGATGATACTTTAGAGTAAATATTAATACTTTAAGATATTAGATGCAATGAAAATTAACTTTTAATAAATTACTAATGTATTAATTAATGTGGAAATGGAATTCTTAATGAATAATATGAATAATGTGATGATGGAAATTAAATTGGAGGAGATGGATGTTCATCTCTTTGTCTATAAGAAGATTTCTATTATTGCAAAAATTAAGTAAACTCTCTTAGTATTTGTTCATTTATTCAATCTCCAGATTTCAAATTAAATGTTCTCTCCAATAAATAAAATCAAACTTAAGTTATTGAATTAAGTTTCACATAAAGAGTTAAAATACTAACTGATTTAAATTTTGAAGAAATTGTAATAATATCTTTTCTACCATAAACTAATGTTAATATCAATATAGTAATTATAACAAGTCTATCAATTGAATTTGATTATCCAATTTATAAGATTTTTGTTGAGTTTATAAGCCCTATTGAAGATGCTTTTCTAAAAATAAATTTTGCTAAATCAATTATCAAAAATGAATATGATTTAGATTTAATAAGATATTAGATGTAAATGAATCTTGGTAGTCCATTTATTATTTCACAATAAAACTAATAAAGATTGGAATAAATTGTCATCCTTAACGATGCAATAATGTATTCAATGATTAGTATATCTGGATTAGCATTCCTAACTGGAATGCAATCATGTTCTTTAATTTAATAGATCTACTATAGTCTTTATCCTATATTAAATATATGTAATATAATTTCCCGTCTCATTTAATCTAATTTTTAAATACTTATTCTAAAGTACAATTTAATCATATAATAATTTTTGTAAAATTCGAAATCATATGCTCAAAAACATGTTGCAAAAATTTTTATTTATTAATAATATTAATTTGTATATATCATTAAAGCCTATTTTGGATCATTTGAAGATAGATGAATTATTAAAATATTTAAATGGAGGTACTCTACCTTTTGAAAATTCAAATACTACATCAAATTAAATTCAATTAAATCCATTAAATTAATTTTACTTGTTAAATGCTAAAGGTTGTTATTTATCAATTTTTGGTTCATTAATAGCATATATCATTTGTAAACTATTGGTTTCTTAAAAATCATTATAAATTCAAAAAATATTATTTCAAAAATACAAAATTAATAATACTTACCTTCGATTTGCTCTATTTTTTCAATAAAAAATACAAAACTTTTGTAGTAAATTTATAAAAGAATATTTCTCTTTTGGATTACCTAAAGTCTATTTTGCTATACTTCATTAATTCTTTTTTAGTGCTTTGTTATAATTTCCAAATTATAGCTTTAATTCAATTTTCATGTCTTTTAATAGTATTAATGCAATATTTGGATTAACTTTTATTTTATATATCAGTTTATAATTAATGTAAATTACATAAACTAAGATAAAAGATAAATAAAAATGGAAATATTTTTATCAAGATTCATAACCTTAATTTTGGGCTTTTAATTAAAAATCATTTTAGATTTACAGAATAATGTTTTACATTTTTATGATTGTTGAAGCATTAAACTATCCAGAGATATAATCAATATTACTTTCTCTGTCTTCATTTTTCTATTTACTGTATTTAATAAAATTTAGACCTTTACAATCTAAATTTGAAGAAGCCAAATTAATATCTAAAGAGTTTTTCTTTACTATTATTTCAGGTTCATTTTTAATTTATAGTTTTCAACTCAGTTATAATTAATTATTATATTTTGGATGGATTCATATTGCACTTTTTACATTAATGTTGATCTCAAATTTGATCATTGATTTAATAGAATGTATTAATAAGGCATTATAAAAATATAAAAGGAAAAAAGAAAAATAAAAAATACAAGAAATGAATAACCAAATTAAACCTCATTAATAATTTATTGTAATAGACACTAGCGAATAATAAAAAATTTATAAGGTCGACTCAAAAAATGATAGAATTTTTTAAGAAATTATTTTTATTTAAATAAATATGTTTATTCATTATTATTTAATAAAACAACTGACAAAAAAGCATAGATCTTCATTTATAAGTTCACTCCAACATCAGATAGTAAATCCAAATAATGGTTGTGAAATTATGAAAAATAGAATTTTATAATGAGCTTCTAAATTAATTACTTTTTTTTAAGAACCAATATAATTAAACGATAATTACTTATTCTAAATCAAGATGATTATGGATTTTTTAATAAAAGATTATCATATTGTAAATCAATTAATTAAATATTCATTATCAAAATTTTTAATTTAAGAATATAATTGAATCTAAAAATTATTATGAGTATCAGAAACAAAGCTCCTTTTATTAGAATCAATATATAATTTTAGAAATGGATAAAATCTTTATTCAAATTTCAATTTACATAATTAAAATTCAATTTAGGCTTCATTAGTTGATGTTATACAAAAAAACATACTTAAATAATTTCAATTTCAATTAAGAAATATTGATAATAACTTAAAATAGCATCATTAATTTTAAAAATAATTTGAACTATATTAATTCTTTTGTATTTAATTAATCTAGAGAAATTTCGCATAGTTATATAAAACATCATTTTTTTTAAGACATTAATTTGGATAAGCATTTAAGGGTCTGGGTTGGGTTTGGGTTTGGG